CAAGGAAGTATGCGCGAATGATCGAGAGTGAGGAGAAAACTTCTAATTGATTGGTTCTAGCGCACTTAAAGTGTCGGGCTCTCGGTTGGCATTCAACGAACCTTCACTAACTGGCGACGACGTTGCTTCGTCCGCTTGACCTTCGGTCGAGGGTCACCACGGTTCTAATACGAAGGCGAGGATCTCGACGAGTGGACTTGCAAGAGTCCTAACGGAAAGGTATAGTTTCACGATCGAGATGCGAAGAGTAGAAAGTATGTTACTGAGTTCGCGGAGTAGATCTAGTTTGTGCGAGGCACAGGACCGATTCTGATAAGAATCTCGGAGGTCCTGTCTAACTTGGATTTAGCTTTCCATGCTTTACGAAGCGTATAAAGCCATTCCCAGAGTGAGTTATTCTAAAGAACTTGGTCACTCACTTGGAATCTGAAAGGTTCCCTTTCTTACGTAACTTCCCAGTCAAAGGCCACCCCTTGCTGGGTCAAAGTCGTACGAGTTTCTGTAGTTTGTGAGGAGTTCTGAATGAACTAAGGCGGTAGGTCGGTAAGACCTAGAGTTTGGCGAAGGAATGTCGGCGTCTCTGATGTCGATAAATGCTCAGCGGTTTTGACAAATCGAAAGAGTACTCAAAATTTCCCACACTACTAATAGTGGGTCTTAGAAATTTGACTCTTCAATTTCAAAACTCGTGCTTTGAGAACATCGTTAAAAGTTTCTCTGGAGGAGATGTTTTCCCATGGGTTCCTTCTTACTACAGGGTAGATAAGTAAGTCATTACAAGGAGAAATGACGAACTGATCCAGGTAAGAAAGACGTACCCTACTCATTTAGCTTAAAAGCTATGGGCGCATTGGTCCTATCCGAAGGGTATCACTACGGACTTGAAGTGTCCGTATCGAGTTCAGGAGATAGTCTTCCGGACATCTTTCCCTAACACTCGAACTGGTGATATTCGGATCCCGGATTCATTCCTGGAAGTAGTTTCTTTCTTTGCGTTGCTCAACCATTTTGTCTACGCGCGGCAGAGATAACGATTTATAATGAAAAATCTCGACGGGTCCTCAATAATCGAGGTACATGCAATGCGATCCGTCGATCTCTGGAAGAATATGACCGAGGTTCTCTAGGGTGAGAAACCTAGTCTTCTAATTCTATTTATGTGTAGTTCGCTAAGTTGTCCAAACTGTTCTTGTATCTCCGTGGGTGTTTAAACTATAGGGCGACCTGTTTTCGGGAGTCGTACTGGGTTCTATGCTTGTTCTCATGACGATGTGATTACTCGTACTTAGGCAGTTCTCCATCCTGAAGTTCATATTAGAATTCATACCTAGTTTCACAGTCACCCTTTCGTGTATACGAGTCATATATAATTAAGGTTGAAAAGGTAGTCGAATAACTGGTTCTTCTTTAAGTTCACATCCCATCGGGGAAAAAGAATTTAAAGTGGAATCATCAATTCTAAACCTGTAGAACCTTGATTATATATCACTCTTATGCATACATTCTTCAGTGATAGATCAACCGCATGAATCCCTAGATTAAACTTGACGTACTGCACGAGTGGTACTTCGGGGATTTTTTCGGAAAGAAAATAACTAATAGGTACTCCTGGCATGAGTACCTCGGCGTTCTGATGTGACGGTTTCGCTGGAAAAGTGATCTAGAAGAAAGGGGTGTACGTATGAAGCTGTTTTCGTGAGGATCAAATTGAATCGAGTCGTATGATAATGTTGAAATCATACCGAAACTTAAAGACATTAGATTTGAACATAAGACGTTTACAGACAAAACACAATCGTGAAGCCATGAACAGAGTTACAGTACTTTAGGTTTACCACAAGACTATTGCTGCGAATAAGGTATACTACAAAAGACAAGTATACGCAGCACGAGAGTCGTTATACATATAGGATCTCGCAAAAGGTAAGACTCTAGTTGCACTAGTTCTAGATAGTTTATAAGTCTGTTACAACGAAACGCCTAATTTATATATAACGTGGTTCCGGAGCAGGCTCTTCTGCAGCTGTGATCCTGAGAATTCTCCCATCTGCGCCAGAGTTCTTTGCTATCGGGCAATCCTTCTGGAGATGTCCAATTTCACCGCATTGGTGACATATCTGGACAGTACCCACGTCAGTGGAGGAAGTGAAGTGTCGAGTATGAGTTAGGGAGACGCGGGTTCCTTCCTTTTTCGAGCAATCTCTCTTATAGTGCCCAAACTCTCCACAATGATAGCAAGTCTGGTTTCCATTGACGTTGGGCGAATTGTTGATCGGTTTTGATAGTCTCCTGCAGTAACGTTTGGTGTGCCCCATTT